TACGAGACGAAGGCGTTTTTGGGCCGGATGCGCGCCGTACTATGATTTCTAATTGATCGAATATACAAACGTTGCGTAAACAGCGTGAATATCGTACGATGATGGTGTGAAAGAGGATGAAATAATGATCTGTCCTCTAATAACATTTTACATTTGTGTTATATCCTAAAACAAGAGTGTATGAAAAACTAACGAATCGCAGTCATCACCAATCGCACATCAACTTGATTATCATCAATGGTCATATTTCATTTGTTCTTGAAACCATATATCAGTTAATTTGTTATATTTAGTTTGAAAATATTTAAAAATATTTGGTTCAGTTTTTTTTTTACACAGTAACAGATTATATTACGATCCAGGAATTGCAAATCCAGTTTCACGTGCTCACGTGCATTTATGATATACTACTATACTAATTCAGGCGAGAAAATCAGACCATGTTTTCTTAGCATAACAAGACTTTGAAAATATCAAAAACATGTGTAACATAACCACATTTTCTTGATCTGCAACATAAGTAAAAATTTTCTTTTCATCTATTCAAAATGAATTTGAAACAAGAATCAATTTAAAGGTGTAACATTAAAGTTATAAAATCCATACTGTTTTTTAAAATATTAAAATATTACTTCTAAATATCTAATTATATGCAGAATAATAATATATTTACTCATTCTGTTTGTGTTCTTATAATTAATATTAATATAGCAATATAACAAATTTCAGCATTAAAATAGATTCATATTTACCTTTAGTTATATATATATAATTAACAAACTAATAATAAAAGGCTCATCCAATTGTCATACACCTCATGACCAAATCGTACAACGTTTTTTCCATGACGGGGTCAAGAACGTCTTGTATGTATCACGTTAAATGAGATCAACTTTCCTGTTTTGAAATTCATCATGTTTGAAGAAATGCACTCTATTTTTTTTTATGAACCAAAATCTATTTAATCAATTTTAATGCTAATTAAAATGCAAATATTAGTTATCTATAAAATCCCAAATTGCCTAATTATTTGTCTGCTATGTAATTAATATTAAACTATATAATAATAAAAACTCCTCCAATTGTTAATGATTTCATTCACAAAATAGTAAATGGAAACAAATTTTGGTTTGTAAAAAAAAATATTTTTGGCACTTTTTTTTTATTCGTATTAGATCCTTACAATTTACATAGGTTTGGGAAAACATATAGTAAACGTTGCTTATTAGTTTAAAATGAAAAATAAAAATTTTTTTTATTACTATGTAAATGTCCAATTTCAGATTTAGCGGATGAACATATCCGTTAAGTCGAGATTCACTGTGTACATACATATAATCCAAACTAGATTTGTCGAGACAGAAAGTAGCCGGGCTTAAGGCCGAGAATACAAAACTAAAACAGATTATAAAAGGAAATGCTGAGCTTAAAACCAAAAATGCGGAACTAAAACGAGCTGTTGAGAAAATCAATCTCCCGTTTGTTCAGAATTCCAAATCAGAGGATCTTAGAAAGAAATCAAACCTGAGATTTCAATTGAGCAAGACATCTAATCAGAGTCTCAAATTTCTGTTGAACCAGAACAAGTGAGTACCTGAGTTTCACCATTGCCTATTCATTTCCTATTATCGAAAAAGAGCAAGTATTATATGATGATGATTTCATCAAAATCCGTGAATTTCTTGACTCAGGAACCATAAAAAATATTCATGATCGGAAAAAAAGCAGAAAGTGAAGCTTCAAACCAAGATCCATCCTTAGTTCATCGAAACACTTCTTTAACATCATCCAAGTCATCATGTGATATATCATGTAAGAATTTAATTCTGTGGTCGGAAGACTAAGTTAGCATATTTTACTGTGTGGGGAGGGAGGCTATATAAACTGGCTTCGATAAATTTACTCATAATCTTCCGAGAGATTATTCCCAAAGCTTCTAATATCTTTAGGTTCTTTTCTACGTTTCTTCCAATTTCAACATCAGGGTTACCATCAGCATATATTTTCAAATCGACTACATTTCTGATTTCTTTCGTCTTGCAAGCATGAATTTCTTTCACGTAAATAACTTGCTTTTTCACTTGTTATGTTTTAAAAAAAAGAAGTGGTAATCATAAGAATGATCCATTTACTGCGCATTCAGTAAAAGTTAAAAAATAGCAAAGCTTAACCAACAGATTATTGAGGAATTGCCAAGGATCCCTATAAAAACTCTTGCTTTGAAATACCGAGAATCTTCCAGTGAAAATTTATACTGAAAACATACATTTTCTGTATGATAAAACTGGAGAATTTTATTGTTTCGTGAGTTTTAACATATTTTGTTCTTGGAATAATTTGTCATAAGGCATAAAGGAAAATAACAAATTAAAATTTACAACCATCAAGTTATTTGTGCTGGTTTTGAATAAGGAATATCTTTAAACTTGCCTTTCACAGATATTCTTGATGCTCAATATCCATAGGAATTGGTGTCAATATGGGAAATGATGTTTTAATTGGTGATTCGTCTATGAGTCAGTAAACCTGCTGTAGAAAATACTACTAATCTCTCAAAGTAAAAAAAAATTTTCAATACAAGCAAAAAAAAAATATATATAGATAATTTTTTTATTTGCACGCCCACAAAAAATTTACAAAGGTGCTTGCTTGATAAATTCTGCCCCATATATGATGAATATGAATGGAAAATATCTTTATAATATCCTAAATAAAATACTTGATTCAAATGAAATGTAAACAATAAAAAAATTATATTTTCATTTGTTTTGTTTTTTGTGTCAAAAAATAATATTTCTCACTCATTTATTCATTATTATTAAATTTCACACAATTAGAAATGAATTGGCAACGATACTGTCTCTTTTTGGAAATTTTCGTGATTGCATTGTATAAACCTTTGATCATTGATTGATTATTGACCATGATAATGGTCACATCACTCTCCCAAAACATTCAAAGGTTGTATTTATAAGTAAAAAAAAAAAAATGAAAAAAAAATCATTTGATCAAAATCAAGTCTTTTCCTGCCATTAAAAATTTAGAATTAATCCATTATTGTTAAAGAAGAATCAATTAAACTTTTTTTGAAAAAGATTCTTTCCTGCTACTAAAAATACCAACAAGAAATTAATCCATTATTGTTTTAGTATTAGCATCGCCACTAGAAAACAACAATTTGGAATTAATTCATTATTATTAATATCTAATTAAAGGAAGTTTTTTTTTGAAAAGATTCTTGCCTTTTTGGAAATCGTGTAACAATTCGGTGTTGATTTTTTCTAAAAAACGACCATTCCTTTTTTGAAAAGTGTGAAGAATAAATAAGTCAGCCCGCAGTAATAAATTCCGCACTTTAATAATCAAATCATCAATTGTTCATACAAAGTGAAAAAAACTATTTTCTTTTGAATATAATAAATTTAATTTAACTCCTCGCCTTAAATTACATCCAGAAGATGTTTGAAAGTTTTAACACCTCTAAAAAATTTAAATCAACTATTATTTTTTGAATTCATACATCCATCATAATGAAATCAATCAAAACCTTTCAAATGCTCCAAGTCATGATGATGTTGGTAATGTCAGCAATAACAGATTTTGCCAAATGATAGGTGGTTTTGGAAGATTGGAGGCCGTGAGCATTGATGGGTTGCAAAACTTGACAACATTGTAATTGAATGCAATTAGTTGTGGTGTATTAAAGGTTGAATGTAATTGGTTGTGATGTGATAAATTTTCTGAAAAAATTTCATTCTGATGCTTGTGTAATGCGATGATTACACGAACTTGCTTGCAACCTATTAAAATCTTGTTATTTATATTAATACTATATATCAAGTTCAAACAATTGATTGCTATGTATGACTTAACTAAATTAGTAGAGTTTAAAATAATTTATATTAATACTATATATCAAGTTCAAACAATTGATTGCTGCTACGTATGACCTAACTAAATTAGCAGAGTTTAAAATAATAATAATTTAGATCGAAATTATTACCAATAGAATTTAAACTAATAATTTGTTTGTTATTATTACTAACAGGATTTAAAAAATATACGCCATATTATTATAAATTTCCATTAATAGGAAGGGAGGATACACTCCTAATAATAAAACTTGATCGTTCATGTGTAACTTATTTCCTTTTTTAAATTTTTAGTTAGATCAGTTTTTATTAAAAAAAATCACACGTTATATTTGTATGCTATCACATTTGAAAATTCTCTCTGTAGTAAACAAACATGTACAATTAAGAATCTCGGACAGCGACGATGATCTTTGGCGTTAAGCAGAAATATCAGAATTGTATCTAAAATTGGTTAAGTGTTGAATATCACCTTTCTTGTAACAGTTTTGTTCACGATTTTACTAGAATTTTTTTTTTAAACTTGATGATAATTATTGGATCATGCTAGAAAAGTTCCGATGAATATTTCAGAAACCTCACTAAAAAGTTTTAAATATGATGGTTGTAATTCTAATTTCATTAATTATTAATTGTAACAACTTTAATTGATATTCTCTCTCCATTGTAAAAATTTATATGATCGCCGGCAGATTATCAGAGGTTACATCATATCCTTAAACGGATAAAGTTCAATTCAAAAACCCTTAATTAAATTAAAATGATCTTATCATTTAAGGCAATAAAAAGTGGGTCCTATTTAAAGCATACGGGTTACTAAATTTCACAAATTAAATTCTTATACGTTTACATTTTCGCTTTTTTTGGAAATTTACGATTTTGCATGATGCTCGATAAGTCGATCATTTATTTATATTATCAAGTACTTTAAACAATTGATTTCTGCGTCCGACTTATCGAGTTTACATGTGTAATTCGGCGGTTTCTTTGGCTTTGTGTTACATTTCTTTGAATTGCTCGAATTGCTTTGCTACGCGTTGCTCCCTGATTTATTTATGTTCTTTATATAATTGATAACGTAATAAGGAGATATAAAGATATAGATATTAGATTGATATCTGAGTGTAAAGAGATTTATATGACAAAGTAATTAGTGTGTAGGCTAAATAATTTAATAAATTTATTAATAATATATATTTTTCAATCGGTATTGGCGTTTTCGATAAATAACTTAAACAATATAATGAGATTTGTTATTCTCTTTTCCTTTTTTTTAATTAATATTAGATATTAGATGGTTAGGCAATTCATTATTTTTTCAAATAACTTAACTTTTTTTTTAATATTAATCAGTATTGGTTTGATCAAACAATATAACAATCGGACTTCATTTTTTTGATTTTTTTAATATTAATATTATTTGGTATTAGTATTGGATGGATGATTAGACAATATAACAATTATTATGCTTTTTATTGACAAATCTCTTTTTTTTTTGTCGTCATTAAACAATTTAAACAATATAATGGTGCCTCTCATTATAGTTATTCTGTTTAAAAAACGTATTTAAGAAACCTCTCGTCGTTAACTATTTTGTTTGAAAACAAATTTAAGAAACTTTTTAAAAATTCTTTTTTAATAAAAAATGTCTTCTATTTTGTCTTTTTTATGTTTATCATGAGTGCGAGTGGTGTACAGTATTGCGCGTAGTAGAGTAGACAATGAAAATAAACTTTAAAGCGTTTCGGAATAATTTAGAAAATATGGTCATGGAAAATTTCTCATATTGAATCGGGACGCGTTTTCTTTTCTCAAACCTGAAATCCTTTCCACAAAGACAAATAAATGATTGGACTGCTTGAAAAATTAAATCACGGGCATGCAATCGATAAAAAAAAAACAAGAAACTCCCAAAATTGGATTTTGTAAAACGTTGAACGAATTCGATCCTATCGTTTCATTGGTAGTTGACATTCTAAATTTCGAAGTAATCTTTCAAATATTACTATTACACAAATCTTCACAAATTCGTCGCAATTCAAGAAAGAGCAAGAGTAATGTTCCTCAACAATAAATTATTTGAATACAACATCCTGCAATGGAACAATAGCTGTGATCACCAAAGTAAATAGATAACCAATAATGTAGAAGTTACGTCCTCAACAAATGGAAACATTACTAAAATAAACGTAAACGTCCAGAGAACTGTTGTAAACTTTGAATTAATGGCGTACTTTTCAAGATTTCAATTTCCACTGCAGAATGCCTTTGTTTCTACTACACACAAATGCCAAGGATTGACGTTGCCATATTTTATTTTGACAATAGATGAAAATATGATTTCGACAAGACAAATCTCTTTTAGAATTTCCTGGATATTATATAGGTGAATATAAACGATTAAATTTTTGGCCTTAAAGAATACTTACGTTAATAAATTTAATAATAATAATATATTTTTTTTTTTTACAGTTGCGTAACACGATGCATAATATATAAAAGTGTTCTGTAAATTTCAAATCATCTGACTTAATGCATATCTTAACCTTTTAATACGTGTCAGAAAAAATCAACACGTCGAGATCGGCAAAAATTATTCGATGCTTTAAGGCCAAACTTTGATTTGATGTTTTTCCCATCATCCTTTGCTGCTCACTCTTCTCCCTGGTTATTCAAGAAACATCACCATTTACTGACCATTATTCCGTGTGGCGGAATTGGTCTTCTTTATCCTTGTTACGAGAATCTCAAATCTCATAATAATAATAATTAATTGTGATCGAAAATATTTGTACCAAGAGAGAGAAAGAACGAAAAAATTATTATTTTTGTATTTTTTTGAATTTTTTATTTTGTTATTAATGTAAGAATCGAGTACAAACAAATTCACAAACTTTGAAAAGTTTCTCGCAATACAGAATTACATAGTAGTCTAGTAGGCTTGACAGAAGAGATCTACAACTCACTTTACCATTTACCTACGTGGCCGGTTTCGCTCCATTATTATCTGTGCGGAAGAAATCATCATGGGTGAAACGGTTGAATGGACAACGAAGGGCTTTAACACGGGATAGCAAGCATCATAGAAGAATTTCTTGATGCTCTTGATAATATTTCTAAATCAACAGATTTGATTTATTACAAGCTTTTCCTGATCCATTGGAACACTGTTTTAAAACTTTCAACAACATCAAACAATCAAAAAATTTGCAAATTTGTAATCGATGGTTTTGAACAAATCTTAGATATTACTCATATTGCCGACTGAAGAGTATCATTCATATGAAGCAACCTATTGGCGTGTTGTCAACGAATGTTCACGAATTGTAACACTGGAAATCTGTATTTGTAATTTCTTTCTGAGAGATCGATTTTCAACCCAAAAACCCACTGTGATCCCGATATAATTTTCTTTGTCGAGTTTAAGTACAGAATCATGGTTCCTGACTTTGTTCAAGTCAACGAATAAACTTATCATTGATGAGATAAAGAAGCGACGCAGAAAGGCTCTATCGGCTTGTTATTGGTTGATTATGTATCCAGCCGGCGCCTTTTGTTACAAACGTATATTAATACTCTCTAAGGAGTCAATAAAGCTACGGAAATTCATTGGAGTCATCGACCACAAAACCGCATTAGAGGTCTTTCAAGAGAGCATCTAAAATCTTTTCCAACATTGACACCTACCCAGCCATCCAAGAATATCTTTACAATAATATTCGTCTGTTTGTGAAAGATGAATAAAGATATCATCACTAGGAAGAAAAAGTCAAGAGTACAAATTATAAAGCCAAATTCAACGAATCGATAAAATTGAACAACTAAAGAATACTTTTTGATTGGTTACCTATTTGTTGAGTTATGTGATTACCACTGTGCGACTGATTACCGTACCCCATATAATGGAAATAATTATATCAGTATTAGTGCATATTAAATATTTAATATACAAACATATATATATTAATATGTATTTGACATGTGCGGGGTAAAATTATTTTGTGACACACAAAAAATTAAAAATTCCCAAATTTTTTTTTTTAATAAATAAAAAAAAAAAGTTCATTTGTACAAAAAATAAAGAAATAAAAAAATTAAAAAAAAAAATAGATAAAAAACAATTTGATAATTAGGAAAAAAATAAACTAAAGTAAAAACCAAACAATAAAAGATAAAAATAAAAAAAAAGCATATTTTTTTGTGTACATAAAATTCAGTAATATATAATATTATATTATTATTAGAATTATTATTATTATTATTATTATATTATTATTATTATTGTCTACACATTAAAATTCATCTGCTGTTGACTTTGTCCACTTTTAACAACGCTACATGTCATCATATAGCCATAATCTTGCTCTACAATCACCAGAACCTGTTGCGAAAATTTTATTATTTGGACTTAAAGCTACCGAAATTACTATTGATTAATTAAATAAATGAATAAGCAATTAATATTATATAATAATAATATGATAAAACAAATATTGCTACTAGTAATATTAGTATTACCTGAATTTTTATGACCTTGTAACATAAATTGTGTTTGTGCTGTGATAGGATCCCAAAATTGTACACTACGATCTTTTGAACCCGAAACAACCCATCTAGCATCAGGTGAAACAGCAACCGATAATACAAAATCCTAAATAAATACATCAAAGTAAATTAATTAAAAATATAAATGATAACATAATATATGCGCACATACTAATATATATAAGAATACAAACCTTGTGACCACTAAATGTTAATTTAGATTGATTCTTTTGACCAGAGTTACTTTGATTTCTACCTATATAAGCCATATCCCATAATCTTAAAGTTTTATCCAAACTTCCTGAAACTAAAGTTTTACCATCTGGAGAAAATGCAACCGAGTAAACACTGTCTTTATGACCTTCCAATCTTTCGAGTAGATAACCAGTTCTTGAATCCCAAACCCTCACTATTTTGTCCAGTGAACCGGCTGCAACAAATGCACCATCAGGGCTAATAGCCACACTTGTTACTCCGGCATCTTTTGTACTAGGTTCGTCAATCGAAAGTTTATTCACCAATTCGCCAGATACCATATCCCAAATCCTTGCTGTTCTATCACCTGAACCTGACACGATTGTACGTCCATCCCGTGAAAAATCAAGTGAATATATGTCTTGCTCATGTCCTGAAAAAATGTTTCTGATGGCTTGTTTTTGAATATCCCAAATCTAATCGATAAGCAGCGTCATTATTATTAATGTATTTGTTTTCTCAGAAAAAAAATTTTTATTATGTTAAAAACCTTACTCTGATTTGTTTATCTTCAGCACCTGTAGCTAAATAATTACCATCAGGACTAAAACATACACTTCGAATATACAAATCACCAGTTTTATCAACATTAGGATCGTCAAGAACGCTGCACATAGTAATAATATATACAATGAATATACATTTTTTTTTTTAAAATCGAATTTTTCTAAAATAGAAAATAATAAAATCAATACTAACTACATCTTTTGACCAGTTTTAACATTATAAATTTGTGCACTTCGATTACAACCAGTTGCAAGTAAGCTGCCGTCCGAATTGAATTTAACACAACAAACAACGCTAATAACAAAAAACAATAATTTATGATATGTATATGTATATATGTATATATGTGTGTATGTGTATATATATATATATATATATATAATATATTATAAATCATGAAATAATTAATATATATACCTATTGTGATCTAATGTATGCATCAAATCAACGTTGAGGACTCGGTTTACTTTTGGATTGAAACTGGATTAAAAAAATAAAATCAATTAATCATCATAATAACAATAAAAACAACAACAATAACATATATATATATATATATATATTTATTTAATATTAGGACATACATTGCGAACCAATCAGTTCCTTCTTTTTTAAGCTGAGCAGGTACACTATCAGGATCCATATCACTTAGACCAGTACTACCACCACTGACTGAAGGTTGCCTCATTGGAGGTCGACTACCTGATTGTAATTGATTACTTGTATTTTGATTATTTTTACGTTTATTAGATGGTGGACCAGAATGTTGTGCATTACCATTAGGAGGTACTCCAGAACTTTGTGGAACTTCAGGTCCAAGATTTGGTGGCATCTGTTGTTGCATTAGGTTTACCGACTACACATATACACATATAAAGAATGATTAATAAATATGGATTAATAAATAACCAATGTAAATTAATTGTTTGTTCTCCTTACTTTTGGCATTTTATTTCCTGGTTTACTTTGTCCAACTCCTTGCATACCGTAACTTTGTTGATTCATTGGTGGTTGGCCAGGTTGAGGAGGAGGCGGTGGTGGCGGCGGAAGACCATTATTGCTGTATATACCAGAAGGTGGCTGTTGATTATTAACAGGCATTCCTAAAGGGTTTGGAGGACCAGGAGGACCTCCACCGTCTTCTATTCGTTGACGTTTAGAAGAATGTTGTGATTGTTGAGATAAAGGGCTTGGACCGCTACCATTTAGATAAGGAGAAGGAGCAGGATTTCCAGCACCTTGAGAGATATTTTGAGGTGGTGGAGGAGGAGGGCCAGCTTGACTCGAATAAGAATTTGGGTGAGATGGAGTTTGACCAGGAGGTGGTGGAGGAAGAGGAGGTTGTTGCTGCTGCTGTGAAGGATCTAAAGACATCTGAGGAGGAGCAAGACCCTGAGCACCACTCATGATTCCGCCAAATAAATTATTTGGGCCTTGACCAATATTTGGTGGAGGTGGCTGAGGATGTGATGGTTGTGATGGTTGTGGATGAGAACTGGTAGAGGGATGGGAATGTAATCTTTGAGTATCTAAGTCACGTTGAAGTCCACGTAAATTATCATCATATCTATTTTTAAGAAGAAAAAAAAATATCAAAAGAGTAATAATAATAATAATAACGAGTAAATAAATGTGTAGAGTACATAATGATAATATTAATTGATAATTAATAATTAATAATGAAATCAATCGATTAACTCATACTGTGCTTTTATATTTTTCTGAGTAGCCTGTAAATCGTATAATCCTTGACGAATATGAGCAACTTCTTCAGTTTGTTGTTGAACTTTTTATTTAAAAAGAAAAAAAAAGAATATAATAATAAGAATATAATTAATTTAATTATAATTAAATCTTTTTTAATAAATCTTATTAATCAATCTAATAATAATTGTCTTCTCCTCCAATAACAATAATAACTATGATGGTGATTATGATGATTATGATGATTATAATGGTTATGATGGTGATTATAGTGATTATATACCTTTATTTTCAAGGTCGTCACGTTGCATTTTATACATTGTAGATTCTTGATGAAGGGTTTCAATTTCAGTCTTTAAAGCCTCCAGTAAATCACCTATACGGGTTGCAGCAGTTGTTGAGGCAGGAACAATCTGTCTATGGCTGTATATATTTGACATTTTGTAGATCTCTGTTATATAAAATAATTGAAAATAGAATTAGCAGAGATGATGTAGAATAAACAATTGAAAAAAAAAGATTTTGATTGAGCAATGGAGGAAATAATAAGTATAGAGAGAATAACTAAAACAATAATATAGATTCAACAACAACAAGAAGAAGACTCACGTCGATATTATTTTGATGAACAAAGTTACAGTCGCCAAAATTTTGACTAATGTAATTATATCTACACTGTCCAAACTTACAAATAAAAGGAAAAATTTATTGGTAGTATTTTTACTTTTCTTTTTAAAATTAAAATAGTTATAAAAAAAGCAAAGAAAAGAATTATAAATGATCAAGAAAAAATAAAAAAATAGAATAAAAATAAAAAAAGAAAATATTTTTTGAGTTTAAAAGTGCGAGTGTTCGGTTGTGAGAGTTTGTTGTGTGTAAAAAGAAAGAGAAAAAAAAAAGTTTATTTTTTCAATATCAAATACAAAATATAATTATATTTTACAATATATTTAAAATAAATATATTGATGTATTGATGATGATGAAAAAAATGATGAGTATAGTATATATTGATGATTGTGATTTTTTGGTTGGTAAATTGAAAAAATTTTTTTAAATCAATTTATTAAAAATAAATATTAAATAAATAAAAAATAAAAATTTTTTATTACACATCACACGTCTCCATAGCACACACATATTTCATAACACACGCACACGCACACACAAACATAAACAGTACCACAGCAACCCGTTTTATATTAGAGCAAAAGTTTGTTACGTCATCAAAGTTAGTTAAACTATATAGAAAGTAAAGTTTGTGTCCAATAAATTAAAAACCCAGGCTACCCAGGCTATTCTTGTTATGTACAAAATTCCAAAATAAAAATAAAATTTTAAGGAGGAGGTGAAGAAAAAGTTTTTAAATAAAACTCAACCAAATATAGAATTAATTATCGATTAAAAATAGTTATATTTAATTATTAATGAAAGTTTTTTGTTTACTATTTGTGTATAAAATAAAAATTTACGAATTCCAGAGTTGACGCTATGTTAGAAAATCCAGAGCTGGGACTGAGTAAGTATGATGGATTGATTGATTAAATTGATGAAAATTTTTTTTAAAATAGATAAATAAATAAAAAAATTATTTATTGGCAAATAAATATTTATTGCAGATCTGGGCTGTTACTTTTATTTATTTCTTGTGCTATTTTGCATTGTTTTTAAAATAATAACCATACATAATAGAAATAATAATAATATTATTGATTGTTACACTTTTTGTATGCAAATGATAATAAAGAGATAAGAATTTGCGAGCAGATGAAGTTACACTAACAATTGAAATGAATTATTGGCACGTGATATCACAAAAATATTCATTATTTAAATTTCTATATATAGATAGAATTTCAATTATTTTTAGAAGGTTCGAATGTCTAACAATTTTGTTTATTATTATAATAGGGATTAATATTAACTTTAGTGAATTAATAATCTTGTATTCCTCGTTCTTGCACATTTTTCATTTTTATTGTTATAATTGTAAATATTTCATTTGCTTGTTTTATTCTTTTCATTTTACCACCACTGGCTATATTATTCTTCCCATTTTCATCATTCTTTTTATCATCAGTAATATCAAGAATAAATTTTTGTTGGTTTAATTCATCACAAATAGCCAACATATTGTCATCATCATCATCATGTCATCATCATCATCATCATCATCATATAATCATCATTACTTTGAAAATATTTTAAAGCTTCTAACAATTCCTTAATAAAATAACTGCTCCAATTTTTTATTGCACCACCATCAATTGTTCCACTATTTGGTCCTTGTTGCATGTGTAAAATGGGTTTATTGGATAAAACATCAGAACGTGGGATTTTAATTTATGTTGTAGTTTCTAGATGTTGAAGCATTCGCACTTTTACTAACCAAAAATAAAATAATAAAAATTTTAGAAAGAAATTCTGAAAATTTTCCTAAAAAAAATTTTTGTTTGCACAAAAGAATTACATATGCACATACACCACATAATAAAGTTTAATTTATTATTATTAAATGTGGAAATGACAAAATCCAAATACCAGGGTTCAAATGAATGAATGAATGCCCCGTAAATTTAGAGCATTTTGGGTATGTGTGGAATTATTGCTGCGGTTAGCTATCAATATATGATCTAATCTAGCATAGTAAAGATTCATATATGTGATCGGCATCATACTTTTATGATAGTAATTTATAAAAGTGGTACAATGCACGCCACTATAACCCATCAAATTTTTATTACAAATTTGATGTCAAAAAAAAATTTGAGGTAACGTGACACGATTAGAGATGTCGATCAAAAATAAAATGTTATTCATCTATTTCATCTATCACATTGTCTGGAATCCTTCTATGTGATTTATATTTTTTGCAATATATTCAGCCTGTAGTACTGTTAAACCTTTTCTGTAACAATCCATAAAACTTGAGGCCCTCATCACATACTTTCTAATTTTGTTTTAGTGATATAGAATCAAAAGCATTGGAGACATTCACTTGAAGACCTGCCCAACATATCATTTAGCAAGCCCCCAAATACTTTTCAATGTAGTTAAGCTCACAGTGAAACTTTGGATAGAAGATGACTTTATGTCCTCTTTCTTCAATTAATTCTTGAAGTAAGGGTTTTTGGTTTTTAAAAGCATCTTTGGTTGCTAAGATATGTCTAACGCAACAAGTCAAAGGTCCTTCAAGAAAAACTTTAAACAAAAAAATTTGAATGGGATTATTTTATATTCATAAATTCAATGCAATTATTATTATTGACTAAAAAAAAAAAACGCGTGAAAATTTTTTTTAATTTTATGGATGAATTATATCGAGTGATTTACCAGAATTAAAAAATCTATTTTTTCAAATTTGGAAAATTTTATAAAAATTACACGGTTTTCAAAAGCTTATAACTCTTGAACCAATAATTATTTTTAATTGTCTCGACGATAGATTGTAGAACTAGTCAAAAGCTAATATCATTTCAATTATTTTCTTTTTAGGTTTTAAAGTTGGTCAATTTTTATTTGATGGGTTATTGTGGCATGCACTATACCGTGTATATTATTACTGATACATCAATAATATATTTGGTACGTTTCGTTAAAAATTGTTTTATTCATTGATTGGTCAGATTAATAGTCATACGACAAATGATTTTTCGAATTTTGTACAACTATAAATTACCAAAATTAGGGAATCTAATCTAATCAGGAATCCCGATCAATATCGTAGAATTTGATTGGCTAAATAAAAATCCCAATATAATTTTTTTATTTCAAAAAAAAATTTTTTTTTTAAAGTTTTCTTTCTAAAAACATTTTTAAAAGGAAATATGGGAAGAATTCGTAGATCAAGAACTCATAAAAGTATCTAATTATAAATAATTATTTATAGTTATTTCTCTCTTTTATTTATTCTTTAAATTTTCTCTATCTCTGTCATTAGATATACGAGATCATTATAGAAAATACAGAACAAGAAATTATACAAAAGATTTAGATCAAATTCATGAAGATTTAAAAAAGCTAACCGATGAAAAAATGATGAGAATTGAAGAAAAAATAGAGAGTGGAAGTGGTGGAAGTGGAAAAGGAGAAATAATAAATCAGGAAAATAATTTTTTATTAAGTATTAAAATAAACGAAATAAATAATAACAGCAATAATAGTGTGGATGATACAAATATTGAGGATTTAGAATTACCAGGATCAGGAAAATTTTATTGTATTCATTGCGCGTAAGTATCAATCTACATGTATATATGTTTGTTATATATATATATATATATAAAGAAAATGTATAATTTATTATTACGTTGGAATTAAATCATTATTAACATATTATATTATATTATATCATATATCATATTATTATACAGTCGTCATTTCATTGATTCTCATGCATTAAATGAACACTATCGTGGAAAACTTCATAAAAGACGGTTTGTATACTATTCATATTTATAATTTCAGCGTTATATATATCTCCACATAAATTTATTTATAGATAATCTAACTTTATGTTAGTATAAAGCTTCTTAAAGAAACACCTTATTCTCAAAAAGAAGCTGAGGCTGCTGTGGGATATTCCACTGAAAACTCTAGAAATAAATCTTTATTGAATGATATTATCATCACTTAATAAATTTGTGTGTGTGTAAGATTACACCGCATATCTATCAGACGTCTTTATTTATTTATATTTACCAATATTAGCGTCCACCTCAAGGTAAAAATCCATTTCTGGTTAGTGTTATTTGGTCCCGATGATTGTAATTGGAGAGTAAGATCATTGTTTAATTTATTATTTACTGCCATTTATTTACCTATTTTCAGAAAATAAAGAGAGACTTGCATGTGGTAAAAAAGAGAGAGTGCCAGTGTGTGTAAATTAATTTCATTCAATCCATCCATCCCATATAATAACACTATATGCAAAATAATAATAACGTATTTGATTTAGCTTCATTCATTAATTCAAGACAAGGGGATTAAGCAATAATTTCCGTATATATACATATATGATGATTATCATTTCACTATAATAAAACAAGTAATTAAACAAGTAATTAATGTTTTGTGTATCTTGAGATAAGTGTGAAAATTTATCAACAGAAAAACATGGAATCTAAATAAATAAGAAAATCCCACACATTTAATTTTTTCCAATTAAGCCAATCCTAATCTATTCAAATAACATCAATAACATTATAGTTCCGACGTTATACAAAAACCAACTTCAAAAAAAAGTCAAACATGTATATATTATTACAATGTTGCAACTAAGATTAAAGAAAATGAATAATTATTTAAGCATTTAATTTAATAAAAATAATGCTAACTTTATAAGTGAAGTTAGTATTGATCTTTGAACACACGACTTTAATCAAATTAAGAGATCCAAGTTGAAAATAATCAAGACTTTTCTATATTTATTTATTTAACAAACTAGATAGATATAGTATATCGTGCTACACATTTATTCCTGTATAAATATTAACCCACTTTTTTTCTTGTTTTTTATAATTAGGTTACTACTAGATTTAGTGTGTATCAAGAACAAAGCTTCTACAACAATCTGCATGTTGTGTATCTGTTTCACATGGTAAAGGTGTGAATATATATGTATATATAGAGGGGGGGGGGGAGGGAAGAGAAGGAAGAGAGATGAAAGAGAGGGAACGGGTGAGAAAGGATTGATTTATCAATTAATTATTATTATCAGTTATTATTTTAATTGAGGAAGAATTCTTTTTTAAAACTTTAACAAATGTGTAACCTGTTATATATTAATTCGTTTTTTAAAAAATTTCTTTTATTTTACGTAGCAGAAAATTTTTTTTCTTACTCAATATAGGATTATGCAAATATGATTTTAATATTGTTCTTTTATATATATATACATACATACATACATATTTATTTATTACTGTACATGTATATATTAATATACATGTATTTATTTACGAATTACCTATAATTTTTTCAATTAATTCAATTAACTGAAGAAGAATTTAGAAAAAATTAAAAATTAGTAAACAAAAATTTTTTTGGAAAGTGAAAGAAGATGATTTTGAAAAAACAAAATTTTCATTTTGCATCATCATCAATCAGATGGTTAGTTGCCTGATATTCAAAGAAAACTTTTCTTTAGTATTGTGTTACCCTATTAACTGGTAATTTTACTTTTTGAGCGACTCACATTCTACCACATACATACTATTATATAGTTATTATAATAATTATAATACACTTTATTAGTAGATAATATATACATTATATAAGTGATGAGTGATGTAATTATCGTTTTTCTCTTATATATAAAAAAAAATAAAAAAATTTATTTTCTCAATTATTTTATTTTTTGTGAAATAAAATTATAATTATGGTTATTTTTGGACGAGAAATAAATTTTTCAGTGTTTTTTGGTTTTAATGGCTCACAAAAGTTTCCGCTTTTTCGATGGTTATTAATTCCAACAGCCTTCTTTTTAATAGTGGTTGGTAAATGATCTTCTTTATCATCTTTTAAAAGATAATAACAATAATAAATAATAAAATTTCTTAAAAAAAAAAAAAGATCCCTTCGAGAATTCTTTTACTTGCACAGAATCGTAATTTAAATCATACAACAGTTATATCGTTAGAAGATGACGACAACAGCAGTAAAATATCTCAAGGATTGTTTTTGATTACAAACAATCTTTACCTTGGTGGTGATATTATATATTTGATTTGCGGGTGTTTGATTACTTTATTTGGAATATTTGGTTTTCTAAGAAGAAATAACGCTGTTGGTCAATTTGTATCCTTTATAAAACATAAATTTTATATGTAGCGTGATTAAATTTAGTGATGATTTTATATAATAACAACAATGATTTATTTAATGATAATTTATCATCTTTAATAATAATGATGATGATGATGATAATAATACATTACAGATTTCAGCATTTTTAATTGCATTCACCGTGATTCACGCAATATCGGCTGCTTATACTGTGTTATTTAGTAATAGATGGATATTTAGAGTACTTGATGATACATGGGAAAATTCGTTTATTTATGATAATGAATTAATTCATGAAATCCAGAACGAGGTAAATATATTATTTTATAAATATTATGTGCACGTCTATACAGACAGACATACATATAGAGAATGTACGCATATTCATTAATATATCATACATGTATATTATATATATGATAGTTTTCATGTAAAGGATTTTCATCGATGGTTGATCGATCAATAGAAAGCGTAATAACTACAACAATATCGTCACCATCGTCATCAAAAACAGTCGAATCAATAATATCATCATCGTCATCGCCCAAAAAATATTTATCTTTTGAACAAAGTTGTGCTAAGATACTGATGCAAAGATACGGTCCACATTTATTTCATGTTGCAAAAATAATATTTTTGGCTAGATTTATGCAGGTAAAAAAATGAATACGTAAATTGTAATCAATCATTTGTATTTTATTATATATATTATATATTAATTACAATGTATTTATTTTTTGGGTGAATTAAATTTATTAGCTACTTGCAGTTTTATTACACACATTTATTTTACATTGCGTTATAGTAAATGATATCCAACAATCTATTCGTCAAGAAGAATGTGAAGAATATAACAACATTAACAGGAACAGTAATAATAGTAACAGTAATATTAACAGTAGTAACGGTAACAGGAATAACAATAGCAGGAATAATAATAGCAGGAGTAGTAACAATAGCAGTAACAGTAGCAGTAACAGTAGTAATAATAATTATAATAATAATTCTAATTATGATGATGATAAAAATTACAATGATTGGGAATTTGAAGACGACGACGATGAAGATGATGATGAATCAAATGGAGATGTTGAAAATTTTGAAGATGGTGAGGATAATAATGATGATACCAAGTTACTACTTCATCATTATCGTAATCGTAATCATCGAAAGTATCTACGTTATGATGAAGTTGACGATGTTAATGATGAATTGATTGATGAATTGGTTGAAAAAAATTTGGATTTAATAAAATTTAATAATTCAATATTAAAATCTATTTATTATAATTCTAGAAATTAGATCAAAAAATTCTTTTTTTATTATATAGAAAATTTATCAAAAATGGACTTTTTTAAAACCTTTTATATTTTATATTTATATATTTTTATTATACAAGTAGATGATATTTTTATTTTAAAAAAAAAAATTTCTTTATTTATTTTGTAAATATTATTAATTTGTACAAAAGAAAAAAAAAAGAAAAGGGCGGGCGGAGGATAATATATTTAGTAATAAACAATAAAAACAATAATATATACTACAATCTATCCATCTCATTAATTTGATTATCACATTAAAATGGAAGATTTGGTGGTATAAAGTCATAATTTACATTACCATTACCATTATCAATATCATTATTGTTATTATCATTATTATTATCGACATTATTAATATTATACCAGAAATTATTATAGTACAACCAATTATTATTATAACCATAATAATAATTATAATAATTTTCATAATAATTATAGTAATTTTCGTAATAATGATTGTAATAATTATCTTCCCTTAATCTTTCTTCGTCAACTGGTTGCTGATTTATATCAGACTTTTTAATCGATTTTTCCTTATGCTGATTATCATAATCTTTGGAAAATTCCACCGGGGGAATTTCTGAAATCTGAGTCTTATAAATAAATAAATAAATATTATTATCAAGTAAGCTAAAATTTCTGTTGTTTAATCTAATTAGTTAAATACATCAAATTCTCTCCTTTCAATTAACAAATAAATACCTTTATTGTTTCTCTTTTATTTAAAAATTCTTCATATGCCTTTTGATCAGTTTCAGTTGTTAAAGGTCTTTGATGATGTTTGATTGATAATTCATCTAAAAAATTATTTAGAGAATGAGTGAGTGAATGAATGAAGGACTACGATGATGAGTTTATAAAAATTAGAATAAATATTACTTGAAAGCGGCTGAACATCAATGTTATAATTTTCTTTTAATAACTCAATAAATTTCATTTCATTTTGATCAACAAAACTTATGGCCAAACCATGTGTACCTTATAAATGAATATTGTTATTGTTATTACTGCGGCAAATAAAGTGTGAGTATGTGCGAGTATGTGTTTATGTATATGTTTACCATATCTTCCAGTTCTTCCAACTCTATGAAGATATGTTTCAGGGTCTTTTGGCATATCTAAATTTATTACTAAATTGACTCTTTCAATATCAATTCCTCTTGCAATCTTTCCCAAAACAAAATTCAATTATTATAATAATTAAACAATTAAATATAATATTTTTATAATTTTAAAATTCTTACCAGATCACTACACACAAGTACTCTAATTTCAAATTTTCTAGCTTTTGACATTGTATCAAGACGTTGTTTCTGATCCAAACCACCTATCATCAGTATCACCAGTATTATCAGTATCATCATAATCATAAATATTATAAATGATAATGATTTAAACGTAATAATGGTGTAAATTGAAATAAACCTGATATATTCATTGACATCCATCCTTGATTTGTTAAATAATTTGCTAAATCTACAGCTCTAAAAAATAATTAATGAAATGAAGAAGTATATATATTTTTATAAATCAATAAAAGGTTTTTTTAAAAAAACCCAAATTACCTTCCACGATGATTTAAAAATACAATGCATTGATAAAATGGGACTTTAGATAACAATTCTGCCATTTTTTTAAATTTTTCTTCGTAAAATAAATATTTATCAACTAAGGTATTAATCTCTGGCGTTTTTATCAATTCATAATACTGTAAAACACCTATAAACATATATATATGTGAATATATAAATAAGTTATCAATTTTATAATCAAGACTTTTATTTAATTTATTTACCCTCTAAGCCTGGTGAATCATCTGAAAGCATGATATAATATGGATTGTGAACAAAATTTTCAAGATTTTTAAATAAAGATTTATCATAAGTTGCTGAAAATGCAAGAACTTGTTTATTACTAGGCAATTTATCATTTATCTTTCTAAATTAATCAAGTAAATAATTAATTAATAAATGAATGTATGTTAAATAATAAATCTATTTTGATTATATAGTTTTTTTACTTTGATTGTGAAAAAAAATTCCGATCCATTAATTTATCAGCTTCATCTAATACTAGTAATTTTATGTTTTTTGCTGGCATTTTTTGATTTCTTAAAAGAAGATCGATCCTTCCTAATTAAATTTAAAAAACAAAGTAAACTTTTTTAAAAAAAACTGATAATAATAATGATTATTGCATTCATTGTTACTATTAATACCGGGTGATCCGATTGCAATATGACATTTTTTTAATTTTGGAAAATCTTCTTCTACAGGTATTCCTCCAATAAAAACATTACAGGTTAATCCTTCAATATATTTACCAATATTACAAATAACCTCTTTAATCTGTATTGCTATTTCTCTTGTAGGTGCTAATATCAAAACCTACTATTAATCATCATTATTAATATTGTTGTTATTATCATCAATTATCATTATTATATAATAAAGATAATAAAGATCAATTGATTAAATAAAAAAATTTTACCTGAGGTTTAGAAATACTTAGATCGATCATTTCTAATGAAATAATACCAAACACTATAGTTTTCCCTGTACCAGATTTTGCTTGTGATATAACATCTAGACCAAGCTTTCCTGGCGGAATTGCTTTTAATTGTATTGGGGAAGGTATATCATAACCTGCAACTTTTAAACCTTTTAACAAATTTTTATTTGTTATTAAGGCTTCAAAATTCACGCTTTCATCAATCAAAATATCTTTTGTTCTTGTAGTAGACATTTTTCTGGAATTGTGGCTGATGCCATGTTCCATATGCAGGGTTAGCTGTGATTACCAGTCTGCTGGTGTAACGTCTTAACTATATATATTTACTATTTTACGTCCAATTTGTGTGGTACAAAGTAACTGACGCCACAACTATCTTTGAACTTCATAAATAGCTGAACATTATTGTAAAGATATTCTTGACACTTGAGTTCCACGGGAATAACAATAAGCGAAGTGAATCAAAGCTCCTTGCAAGCTGGTTTACGAGGAGCTTTAGAATGATAATTAATAATGGTGGAAATTTATGATTTTCTAGTACGCAGTGAATCTCGATTTAACCGATATGTTCAAATTCACCCGCTAAGTCGAGATATCCGTAAAAGTAAGATAATAATATCTGGATATAATGAATGGTCATATAATCAAATCATGTGATATACATTATACAGTTACAGTGATCCCAAAATTTTCACGTAACGAAAAATTCCTTTATAGTTCACCACAATGAGAGTCTTTTGAATTAATATTTATTTAATGATAAATAGATAATATCAAATAATAAGTTTTTACAAATTAATGATAAATAAATAATGCATAATTAATGAGTTTTGCACATTAATATTTATCCCAAAGTAACTTGTTTTGCAGATTCCGAATAGTACGCAGTGAATCTCGATTTAACCGATATGTTCAAATTCACCCGCTAAGTCGAGATATCCGTAAAAGTAAGATAATAATATCTGGATATAATGAATGGTCATATAATCAAATCATGTGATATACATTATACAGTTACAGTGATCCCAAAATTTTCACGTAACGAAAAATTCCTTTATAGTTCACCACAATGAGAGTCTTTTGAATTAATATTTATTTAATGATAAATAGATAATATCAAATAATAAGTTTTTACAAATTAATGATAAATAAATAATGCATAATTAATGAGTTTTGCACATTAATATTTATCCCAAAGTAACTTGTTTTGCAGATTCCGAATTAGTTTGTAATATTAGGTTTTCTTTTACAGAATTAAATCTTCCATTCGCATATTTCTTTTTTAAATCATTAAATCATAGCCAGCTAAGCGAGCCATTAAATTTTTTAGCCAGATGACATTACTATTAAATCATGCAGTTATTGTTCTGAAAAGTGGAATGCTGGTAAAGTGTAAATGTTGACATTGTTAATAGACTTATGTACATAGGTTAGTGGTTGTATCCACCGAATGATATTCACCAATTATTCACCGATTATCCAGTTAATCGGGTGCTGAAAATTTTCATTGATTAATTAATCGGGTGTTGAAAATTTTCACTGGATAATTGGTGAATAATTGGTGGACAGAAAATATAAAAAATAAAAATTTTTATCCACGTAATTGAAAGAATTACTAATATATTAACATGTAAATACTATTTTATGCACTATTACACTCACCAAAATTCTTTCTATTATAATAACATATCCAAGTAATATGAATACCAACTGTGTCATTATTATCTAAAGAATATTTATGCATTGCAGTAACTTCTACTCCGAATGAGCGTCTACAGCTAAACCTTGTCACGGCGGACTATAATTATAACGGATTTTTAAAATTTTTGCTTCACATTCACATTAAAATATAAAAACATAAAAATCCATTGTGGAAAGATCAGTAAATCTGGCCACAACGGGTTTTAAATAAATCTTCATTCATCCACTGTGACAAGATTTGATTGTATTTAGTGAAGCTGGAAACACAATGACAGCCGAATGAATAAAATTGAATCCGTTGTTATTTGTATTTCTTGAAAAAAAATATGCAATGTATTGGAAATATTTTTCCTGGGAATAAATAATTATTATAAATCAATGAATATTCAATGGATATTCGGCGGATATCGGTGAATGACCAATTATCCAGGTGATGAGTTTTATTGACTGACCGATTATCCGGGTGTTGAGCTTTATTGGTTGACAAGTACTCAAACACCCGGATAATCAATGGATACAACCACTAACATAGGTAGACTCGATAAGTCGGTTTCAGCCAAAAATTTTCAGCCCTTTTTTTCCCTATTTAAAATCTCTTGATAAGTCAGCCAATCCATATAAAGTCGCGATAAGTTGTAGGTCAGTCAACCCTCTTTTTAGAATAAGTAAATTGTTCTCGGTAAGTCGGAGTCACGTGACATTTCATTAAATAAATGATCATCATTTCTACTTTTAATAACGTATGATTTTTTATTTATAGAATTTTATATTAATATCATACATTATATCTGATGATTTAGAAATTCTTGTCACGATATTTTATTATTCATTTTTGTATCATCAGGTTATATCATTGATTGTATAATTT